GGTAGTGAGGTTGGCCCAGGATCGGACATTGTTTCGTTCTGCTGTGCATGGGGTCGCTATGAGTCGGTTCCGACTCGATGGCACCTGACAACAACAATATATATATATAATCACATATGTATAATCCATATTATATATACACTTTGTAACTCATTCTGTGAGGCCAGGATTACCCTGATTTTAAACTTCCAAATTTAAGCAAACTGGACCCAGCAACATATAGAGAAGGTTACTTGTCATATTCTGCTGGGATTTTGAACGTTACAAAATAAGTTAATGTAATATAGCATTTCAAGTAGAATGAAGAACCGAAAACACTTTGTGACTTCAGTTGACTTGAAGAACACATTTTACAAAAGGCAGCACTTCCAATGACAGGAACACCAATGTAGGAACAGAATGGAATTCCTTCAGCTTCAGTGGGGGTCACATACGGGACCCCACAGCAGAGCTCGGCCTTCATGGGTGAAGCATGTCCATTCTCGTTGCTCCATACAGCGCTGTAGTGAGGAAACCAGGCAGGATGACGAAATCCGAGCTTTCCTAGAGCAGGGTTATGGGGGAGGGCAGACCTGAGTGTCCTGGGAACCCCTGGGACCCGTTCAAGAGCAAATTCTGGTTCATTTGGGGGGAGCCCAAGCAAGCCCCGCCCCTTGAGGCAGAGTCCGGTTATGGGACCAGATGTGAGGTGCCCGGAGCTGTAGGGTGAGGGTGTGTAGGTGGCGGAGGGCGGAGGGTGGGCCCTCTGAGGGGTCCATTGGTCTGGAGAAGCTGCCTGTCCCCCCGAGGCTGGACTGCACTGTTGGTGACTGCATCTCCAGAGAGGAGTGGTCCAGGTGGGGTTGTGACAGTATTCCCTGGCTGCATCCTTGGTTGCAGGACAGAGAAGAAAGAGTCATTGAACTGGAAGCAGAAAATGCCATTCTACATCTGAAATTGGCTGAGGTGACACTTTATAACTCGGTTTATAGATTTAATTGCTTGTTTGTGTTTTCCTGTCTAATGAGGTGACATGAACTTGATGTTGCAAGTTTCTTCAAACACTGGCACCAAGTTTAGTTCTAAATTCCTCCCGATCTCTACATGCACATGTTTAATGAGTTGACTGTCCTATAGATTTGGAGTCACTGGGCCATCACCACCGCCCAGCTGGGAAGTGTTGCCCTCACCCGCAGGATTCCCTGAGCCCTTTGAAATCAGCCCTCCCCGGCCCCAGTTACATGCAGCATCTTTTCTGGACTGTTGACCAATGTGTCTGCCCCGAAGGACTCTGCCTAACTTTGACTACAGAGCTGGGCTTCAAGATTACAAGGAAAGGAAAAGAAATGGGGAATTACATTTGGTGGATGTGGGTTCGTTTCATTCTTATGCCGTCTGCCATTGCTGCTCCCAGCAGAAAGCCACATCTTCAGAACCGGTAAGGTCTGCCGACTTTGAAGATGGGAGTAAATTCAGAATATTGGGTTAGCCAGGTGGGCCCTAAATGCCATCCCAAGTGGTCTTGCAACAGAGAAGTAGGAGAAGGAGGTTTCACACACACATGCACCCCACACTCCACACATACCGCCCACACACACACGCAAATAGGTACCACACACATACACTGACATATGCCCACCACACCTATCCATACACACCACACACTCACGCTTAGTGATATGCCCACTCACACCCACACGCAAGTACATATGCCTCCTCACACCTATATACCGTACACACCACACACTCACACCTACTCACACATATACTCACAATTACATCCACACGCTAACACACACATGTGGTCACACAACTTACACACATCACACACACTCACTGACACACACAAGCACACCTACTAGTACATACAAGTACACACACCTACTCAAACACACAGTCACACATGTGCACATGCACACACAGCACAGCCTTGTGGAGACCAAGGAGCCGAGTTGAGGAAGATGCTCTCGGCACCTGGATTTCAGACCTCCAGATCTGGGAGAGAAATGTCCACTGTCTGAGGCCACGGGACACTTCAAATCACCTTCAATTAGCTTCTTTGCATTCCTCATCTCTAAAATATGGCCCCTGGAGACTTGTCCTTGGGGTCTTACAGCAGGACAGATCCAGGGCACAGCCTTTGGGGACTTCTCCGTCTGCTTCTGTCCAGCGTCATGGAAGGGTTGCCCGGCTGCCTGCCCTAGTCTTCGGGGCTGTGGTACAAATAGCCACAGTGTGGCAGCCTCCCCTGAGCGGCATGGACTCTCTGCCAGTGCTGGAGGCCCAAGTTCAGATCAGGTGGCCACCAGGAGACTGTCTCAGCTTCTGCTGAGGGCTGTGTGCTTGGAGTCCTGGGCTTGTGTATGCAGCACTCTGGTCCCTGCCTGGTCTCAACTTCCCTCCCTCACCGGCTAGTGCCTCGGGGTCCCTGCCCTGCACCCCCTTGTAACTCTCACCAGACCTACAGCCCCGGGCTGCCTGTCAGTCAGGAGCCCAGGCAGTGGCTGCTCTCGGCTAGGTCCCTGGGCGTTGGCAAAGACAGCCTGCTCTTAGTCCACTCGCTTGGACAGACTGTGCTTGCTCAGCGTTCAGGGCTTTGCTGCTGTCACTTGTCTGTCTGTGTGTGTCTGTCTGTCTGTCTGTCTGTCTGTGCTTGCCCCTCCCTCACTGTCTCTCCCCCTCCCTCTATCCCTTCCTTCGCTCCCCTCCTGCCCACCTCTCTGTCTCTCCCTGAGTACCCCCTCTCTCTCTGTGTCTCTGTCTCTCTCTCCCTCCCCCCTCAATCTCCTTCTGTCTGCCTCTCCCTCCTCCCATTCCCTCCCGCTTTCTCTCTCTCAACAGTGTCATGAGATGCTTAGGAAGAGCCAAGTGGAGGTCTGGCAGCTGTCTGCCCTGGGCAGGGAGCAGCGATGCTGGCAGAGGACGATGCGCTCGGCCTGGGTCCAGCTTTCTGGCAGTGTCCAGGTAACGGGCCCCACCAGAAGCCAGTGTCCTCTTCCACACCCACCTGATGGTCAACACCCACAGTGGTTGATGTCTGGTGACACTGCAGACAACTGTAAAGACATCCTCTGTGTGAGGCAGCAAACTGCCTCAGCTGTGAGAAATACAGGTTTTCTCTTCGGGCTTAGTCAGGCTTTTGTAAAGATCATAAAATCATTCTATTTTCACAATCAATTATGGGGACTCTGCTTTCTACTACAGAAAACCTTTTAAAGCTGGAGCCTGTGTAAGAAGGAACCTGTGAAAGAAGCCAAAACGAATCGATTTCAACTCCTAGCCACCCTATAGGGCAGGGTCCACCTTCCCCATGGGGTTCCCAAGGGTGTACATCTTGAAGTGAGCAGGTGGCTCATCTCTCTCCCAAGGAGCAGGCTGGTGGGTTTGAACCACCAAACTTGAAGTTAGCAGCCCAATGTCTAATCGGCACCAACCCAAATGTTTCCTAGTAAAATGAGTGCTAGGAAAGGGGTAAGACTACGTCCGTCAAAGGCAGAAGACCTATGAGAGCCAGGAGACAAGGTGGTCCTGCCAGGGATCCTACATGACAGATGGAACATGAAACTCCCACTCCCGGGGTCCCAAGCACGCACTCAGCGGGAGAGGCGCTTTCCTGCTGTCAAGTCAGTTTCATAGGCGAAGGCTGGTCCTGCGTGAATTCTAACGCTAAGTAGTAGAAAGTGGTTTTGCACATGTCAGATTGTTGTTGTGAAGTGCCGTCGAGTAGGTTCCAACCCATAGTGACCCTGTGTAGGGTTTCCAAGGAGCGGCTGGTGACCTTGAACCACCAACTTTGCAGTTCAAATCAACTTTGCAGTCTACCGCATTAATGCACAGCGCCATGCCAGGAGTCCACCGTGTTGGATTACACAGAGCTAAATGAAACACTTTATTGGATTTGGATCCAATATCAACACTCATGGAAGCAGCAGTCAAGCGATCAAATGATGTTTCGGGCAAATCTGCTGCACAAGACGTCTTTCAAAGTATGTCGTGATATTTTCAGTTACCTAAAATGCACGTGAAATAAAGTGAATGAGGAAGACTGAAGCATATGAGTTATGGTGCTGCTGGAGGATATTAAAAGTACCATGACCTGCTGGAGAACAAATCTGTGCTGGGAGAAGTACAGCCAGAGTGCTCCTTATCAGGGTGCTGAGACTTGGTCTCTCATACTTTGGGCACATCATCAGGAAGGACCAGTCCATGGAGAAGGACACCATGCTTGATAAAGTGGAGGGTCAGTGAAGAAAAAGGAAAGTTCCCCAGGGAGGTGGACTGGCCCAGGGGCAGCAACAGTGGGCTTAAGTTTAACAAGGATTGTGAGGCTGGTACAGCACCGGGCAGTGTTTCATTCTGTTGTGCAGAAAGTTGTTGTGAGTTGGAACCAACTCCAGGGCATCTAACAATCACAATGCCACCTATGCATTGGCCAGATCTCCACAACACCTCTTTAAAGTTTTAAAAGAGCAAAAATGTCACTTGGGGGACTAACATGCACAAAACTCAAGCCAGGGCATTTTCAATGGCCCTATCTATGGTTTCATTCTGAGTCGGTACCAACTCGATGGCACCTAACAACACCACCAGCTGTTCAGTGGGAGAAAGATGAGGCGTTCTGCTCCTGTAAAGATTTACAGCCTCAGAAACCCTGTACGGGCTCACTATGAGTCGGGGCCGGCTCCACGGCACGTAACAACAACAGCATAGTCCTGTGAAAGTTGGGCCATGAACAAGGACATTGATGTACATTACGGTGTTGGTGAAGAATATTGAACATAGCATGAACTGCTAGAACATCAAATCTTAGAGGTGCAGCCGGAATGCCTCTCAGAAACAAGAGGGTGACACACTTCCATGTACTTTGGACATGTTGTCAGGAGGGACCAGTCCCAGGAGAAGGACGTCGTGCTTGGTGAAGAGGAGGGTCAGCGAAAAAGAGGCAGACTGGGCTGGGCTGGGCTGACACAGTGGCTGAAGCTATGAATGTGAGGCTGGCACAGGACTGGGCTGTGTTTCGGTTCATTGTACGTGGGGTCACTCTGAGCCATAGCTGACTGGACTGGACACCACTAGCAACAACACCCATCACACACCACACCATGTGAAAGGCTCCCTTGAAACTTAACTAAGAAGAGTTGTCGTTGTCTGGTTTGTTGGCAGTTCTCCAAGGTGACATTGTGGAGGATGTGTTTACACCCTCGATGAAGAACATGGTTTTACCTTATGTTACAAGGCGCGTCCCTGGGGCAGCATTTGGGAGAAGATATCCTTTGATCACAATAGAAACTGCATCTGTGGACACAATTAATCTGCTCTCGGTGAGGCAACGGAGGCTTCCTTTGTTTTTTCTTTCCTTTTCTTGAATGAGCTGCCTTACTGTCTTTAGAAAGGATTTCTATAGAAGTGATTTTTAAATTTTCTTCCAGCTGAACAGCTCTGATCCTTGTGTGGATAATGCTTATCACCTTAATCTGCATGACACATACCAAATCTCCTGTCACTCAGAATACTTCTGACATTGTGTCCAAATGTTTCTCAAACTTGTGGAAGTAATCTCCATTTTATAGAAAGAAAACAATGTAACTGAAGAAAAAAGGAGCACCGACTTGCATTCTGTGAGGTTTTATGATGATCTCTGCATTGAATTAAGCATGGAGCAGTGGCCCTCAGATCCTTCAGTCTAAGCACCTCTCATGTCAGAAAAACTGTGACATCATTTCAGGGGGACAAGGGTACATGACATGTTGTTAGCTGCTTCAAGTTGGTTTTGATTCATAGCGACCCTATGCACACAGAACGAAACCATGCCTGGTCCGCGCCATCCACTGTGTAAATCCACCTCATCGAAGGTCTTCCTCCATTTCTCTGACCTTCTACTTTACCCAGCATGATGTCCTTCTCCAGGGAATTATGAGAGAAGTCAGGCCATCCTGGCTTCTAAGGAGCATTCTGGTTGTACCTCTCCTGATACAGATCTGTTGGGTCTTTTGGCGGTCCATGGTACTTTCAATATTCTCCTCCAACACCATAACTCAAATGCATCAATTCTTCTACAATCTTCCTTATTCACTGTACAACTTTCAAATGTATATGGGGCAATTGAAAATACCATGGCTTGGGCCAGGTGTACGTTAGTCCTCAAAGTAACATCTTTGCTTTTTTTCGTAAGTTTTTATTATGAACTGAGTTAGAGTTTACATGGGAGAACATTGGCTTTACACCAGTGTTTCATTGCAATAATTATAATCTTTTCCATGCATCGTAACTGTACAGTATTTACTTCCATTTCCTCTGGGTTATTTTTTGGGGGGAGGGCGTGTGTACACAAAAACACTCAGGAATATATAATCATTTAAACAACCAAAGGGAACATTCTTTGAGTCTGCCTCCTGGCTATCAGCTCTCAGTCCCTCTCTTTCCATGAGTCTAGAGTCCTCAGCTGCTCTCTCTCTCCATGTCCCCATCTCTGCCTCCATCTCTGATGTCACTGCTTCTCTGGATAAGGTCCCACATTCCTCTTGTGCTCTTCTCCCTTGATGTTCGTAAGAGCCTCTGTTTCTGGACTGGAAGATTAACTACTCCCCCATTTATGTTATAAAACTTCTACCTTTACAGTTGTGACAGTTGCAATTAGTCTTGATAACAGTTACTCACTATTGAATCATAAGAATCTTATCCCCATCTCTTTTCACCAGACCCAGCTAGACAAGATGAAAACTATTCAGTGGGGATTCTATCTTCCCCCAACCACTCTTAAACTCCGTCTTAAAAACTTGTAAGCCAGTCAGTTTGTGCCTTTATTGCCCCCACATCTTTGCTTTTTAAATTTTAAATATAAATTTTAACTTTAATTTTAAAAAGGTCTTTTGCATCACATATAGAATGATGCTTTTTGGCTGCATTGCTCCCCAAATTCTTTTAAAACTCATTTACTGTACCTGGAAAATCATTATGTACATTTATGGAGAAAATGTTTAGTACTGGCTAAATGCGTTTTTCATCATGTGCTAGCAGTAATGAAACTTCCAGAAGACAGGTCTGGGTAATAGATTAGAGCTTTGTTCCTCATGTAAGGAAAGGGGGACAGATCATGAGTATGTGCCACAAGCACCAGGAAGGAAACAACAGAGAAGGGGACATTCCTGGATCCGCCTCTTCCAGAACATGCTGTGTTTTATCTCCTGTGCAAGCAGGTCAGATGTCTGATGCTTTGTTTCTTACTTACTCGAAGGTCACTTCCCAAAGCCCCAGTCCCAGATCTCTGGGGCCATAATTCCCAGATGTGGGACTGACTTTGTGTATGACAGAACCATGCCACATGGGTCTGTGGTCAAGGACGTCTGCTTAAGTAGACTGAGTTCCGAATAAATGGGTGTATGACTGTGTGAGTTATGGGACTATGTTCTTATTTTATAGAAACTCAAACAAGGGGCTTCAAAGAGCTCCTGGAAACATGGAATGCAAAGACCAAGGCACTTCCCACACACATTATGATCCTCCTCATAGTGTTGTTGGTTCCAACTCCTAGCGACTCTGTGCACAACAGAACAAAACACGCCCGGTCCTGCATGGTGCTCACATTCACTGCTACGCTTGAGCCCAGTGCTGCTACGATGGTGTCAATCCATCTCACTGGGGGTCTGCCTTTTTCACCGACACCTCCAATTTCCCAATATGTCCTTCTCCAGGGACTGCGCCCTCCTGATAATATGTCCAGAGTATAAGAGACAAAATCTGGCCATCCTGGCTTCTAAGGAGCACTCTGACTACTTTTTCCAACACAGATGTGTTTGTTCTTCTGGAAGCCCATGGCACTTTCAGTATTCTCCTCCAACACCATAACTCAAAAGCATCAGTTCTTCTATGGTCTTCCTTATTCACTGTCCAGCTTTCACATACATCTGAGGTGGTTGAAAACACCATGGCTTAGTCTTCAAGCTGACATCTTTGCTCTTCAACACTTTAAAGAGGTTTTGTGCAGCAGATTTACCTGATGCAATATGTCGTTGGATTTCTTGACTGCTGCTTCCATGAGTGTTCATGGTTGATCAGATCAAAATGAAGTCTTTGACAACGTCAATCTTTTCTCCATTTATATGGATACTATTTATTGGTCTAGTGGTGAGGATTTTTGTTTCCTTTATTTTGAGGTGGAACCTACGCTGTAGGCTGTAGTCTTTGATTCATCAGTAAGTAGTCCAAGTCTGCTTCAATTTCAGCAAACCGAGTTGTATCATTTGCATATCACAGGTTGTTTGTTAATCAGTCTTCCTCCAATCCCGATGCCACGTATTATTAGGTATTATAATTGTATTATAATTAGTGATAATAGAATAAATCAGATTAGGTGCACGGTGATATTTGCATGCTATAGAACATATTATAATGATGTCATAACTTACATTCCTTGTAGAGCTGCACGACCAGGGGCAGCAGGTAAATCCCCCGCCTGGGGCTAACTGCTTGTCTGTCGGTCAGCATGTGTCCAGTCCTCACCTGGCCTCCTGCCCATCCTTGTTTCCCGCTGCCCACGTGGCACACTGTCTCTCTGACCCTCAGCCCCGGAGCTGGGTCAGCGCTCACACCTTAGCAGGACAGCTTCTTTCAGACAGGCAGACAGGCAGATCCAGGTCCCTGGGGGCTCCCACCACTGCCGGGGGCTCTCACTGACTCCGGGGGCTCTCACTGATCCACTGACCCCGAGGATCTCAGTGACCCCGAGGGCTCTCACTGACCGCGAGGCCTCTCACTGACTCATTGACCCCGGGAACTCTCACTAACTCCAAAGGCTCTCACTGACCCTGAGGGCTTTCACTGACTCACTGACCCCAAGGATCTCATTGACCCCGAAGGCTCTCACTGACCCCAGGGGCTCTCACTGACCCACTGACCCCAAGGGCTCTCACTAACCCCAGAGGCTCTCACTGACCCACTGACCCCAGGGGCTCTCACCTCTTATGCAGGCTCTCACTGCCCCCATGGGCTTGTTAGTTCCCTGGAAAGACTTTCATAATCTCAAGGAGACTACTCCATACCTGCAGCTACCACTCCATTACAACACAAAGGGATACAAAGAGACTCCTGAGGTGTGGTCAGGGTGGGGTCCTGGTGTGGACTCGCCTCTCTTCTCCCTCCCTGTGTGGCCATCACAGAGGGCACCATGAGGCAGTCACATCAGATGAGGGCACCCCTCTTGGTTCTGTCAGCCCCCACTCTTCACCCCAGGTGAGGTCTGGCTCTCAGGAACCAGGACCAAACCACATTGTTTTCAGCCAGGTGACCCGTCCCTCTCAGGGACTGCCCTCTTCTCGTCTATGATAATCCATGGTCATATGTGTGCCTGTGTTCTCACTCTGCAGAAACTCAAACACGACCTCGGGGAGCTCCGTTCTGTGTCTCTGATGCTGCTGAGAGACCTACAGGTGCGAGCTCAGGACTGGGTGTCTGAGGTGGCGACCGCAGCATGTGACCCGCTGCTCTGCAGTGAGACCCTACAGGGTAAGGGGACGGGCCCTGAGACCCCGGTGAGGCTGCCCCTCTGAGCTGTGTATTGGAGACCAGTGTTGTCTGGAATCCTAGTTCTGACTTCAGTTAGCGTCTAATTCCAAGGGTGGCGGAGACAATGTGGGAAGTGTGGGTGTCCTGTCTAATTCCAAGGTTGGTGGAGACAGTGTGGGAGATGTGGGTGTCCTGCTGGTTGCAACCATCGCTGCCCCGCTCCACTTCACCCACACCCACACCCACACCCACACCCAGGACTCCTTTTGAGCTGGGAGACCAAGCAATCTTCCTCTGGCCCACCCGTGCTTGCTGGCTGCCCCCGTGGCCAGCTTCCTTGCCCTGTGGGCCCAGCGCTCTCTCTCTCATGGTGCTGGTGCAGTTTGCTGGCTATTGAGGTTCGATGGGAGTGTTGCTAACACTCCTCAAACCCAGGAAGCAGCTGCTTACTTCACAGCTGCTGTAGTTTTAACACTTGACATAATTGCCGAATATGCACTCTTCTCGTTCTCACTGCTTCTATCGAAGGCTCTATGAAGTCAAAAGATGAAGATGGGTTTAAAGATGGGAGCATAGTGACATGTCCATTTGCTGTGATTCCAAAATACATCTCTGAGCACTTTACAGTAACTTCTGTTTAATGTTCACTAAGTGTGGACCCTCAGATCTCACAGTTGGCTCTTGATTGGAAGAGGTTGAAACACTCCTGGAAGGCCCAGAGTTCGGATGGCTACTCTGTGTGTACACACATGTGGTTTTGTGTGTTCCTACATGTGTGTGTACACACATACACATGTGTAGTGTTTGTATGTGTATTTATGCACATTTGTGGTGCTTGTGTGTGTTCCAAAATTCATGTGCATACCTGTGGTGTGTGTGTGTGTGTGTGTGTATGTGTGTGTTTATGCATGTGTGTATGCATGCATGTGGTATTTGTGCATGTTCCTACATGTGTGCCTGTGTGGTGCGTGTCTATACATGTGTGTGCATGTGTATGGTGCTTATGTGTATTCCTACATGTGTGCGTGCATGACTGTGTGGTGTTGTTTATGCATGTGTGTATATGCATGTGGTGTTTGTGTGTATTCCTACATGTGTGCATGCATTTCTGTGTGGTGCGTGTTTATACATGCATGTGTGCATACAGGTGGCATTCCTATTCCTATATATGCATGCATGTCTGTGTGGTATATGTTGATGTGTGTGTGCATGCATGTGGTGTTTGTGTGTATTCTTACATGTGTGTATGCACATACCTGTGTGTTGTGTGTTTGTGCACCTGTATGGACATGCATGTGTGGTGTGCATCACACACATGTGTGGTACCTTGTATGCATATGTACACGTGTGTGAGCACATGTGTGTTTTTACAAGTTGTTTGCTCCAGGAAAAGGGACAATGGTATTATTTGATGGCAAACAGAATCCCTAGGCTTCTGGGAACTGAGAACCGTGGAGATGCTCTCTATCCCTAAGGTAATGTTGGCGTACAAGGGACTTTAAAAAGTTAATGGGGAGAGGACTTCCGGTGCTTCCCTGACCAGGCAGTTCAGGTAGGGCAGTCTCAGGGAAAAGGGGCGGAATTGCACATAGGAAACCTCTGTCTAGCAGACAGACAGCCTTTGAACAAACGTAAGATCTTATGTTTCAACATTCTGAACTCGTTTTTTTAAAAGATCAAATTACTGAGGAATTACAGGCATTTTCAGCTTTTGCCTGCCTGCACGCGGCTCCTGCTTCCACGCCCATGCCGGCGAGTGCCTCTGCCCCCTGTAGACCTTGGAATGCAGGGCTAGAGCAACCCCACTTAGAAGGCTGCATTTCCAAAGAAAAGGAAGCATAAACTAACAAAACCGAACAAATAGAGAGGGATATCGATGTGGATATCAGGAAATTCGGGGTATCCACGGTACAGAGAGACTGAGAGAGGCATCTTTTACGTCATCAAATACAGACACTACCTCCGTGCAGTCATTACCCCCAGCCCTCTACTGCCCCGGCCTAGACCAGACCTCTGCCAAGCCGCCAAGGTCCAGGGCCCCCAAGGCCCAACCCGCCGCGTAGCCTGGTCACCAAGGCCCAGTGCCCCTGAGACCCAACCCGCCCTCAGCCCGGTCCCCGAGGCAGAGGCCCCCCGAGGCCCAATCCACCCAACCCACCGGCTGAGGCCCAAGCCGCCCGATGCCCAGCTGCTGATACCCAGGGCCACTGAGGCCCAAACCGCCCACCCGAGGACTGCCGGGGTCTGGCCCCGACATAATTGTCACGTGT